TGTACTTGCCCAGGTTTGCTGAGATAACATCTCTCGTTCGATTGCATGTTGAATTTGGGCTTGGAACAATCTACCACAGCCAGTCATGCAAATCTGATTGACGCATGGCGAAGACTAAATTAATCAGCCTTGTGAGGTGAGCCATCTTGATTACTCACCACCTCTTGCCTCTATTTCGCTTAAAGAGAGACAGAAGTGTTGGTTGGGCAAAGGATGTCGACTGATCGCATACGCTGACAATCTTGGCCAGGCAGTTGAATCATCTGCATACAAATAATTGCGTTCGCCTGTCGAATCAGGCGCAGTTTCGCAAAGTTGAATAACTGACTTTGCCCAATACACTCCGAGACAGATTTTATGTGCCATGAGGACAGGAAGTGTCGCGTGTAGCAAGGGCGTTGGGCAGAGATTGTGATAGATAGACGAAAAGCAATCGAGCGCATAGCTGAGCAGATTCATGGATGGGGTAAAAAGGCATGAGGTAATTTGAAAAGATGAGTTGTAGCATAGAGTTGAAGTCAGTCCAAATGGCAATTGGCTGGCCGATGCAGCTGCTGTACAACCATTGAGTGTGCTTGAGGCTAGAATGGGATGAGTCATCGTTCGCCGGGTCTGGAGCTCGGGCTGGATTTCGAACAGGCCTGCCCTATACTTTTTACGAGCCGGCCTCGCCTCAGTTAAGGTAATCGATACGATTTGGCAGTCGGCTCACCAGGCTAGCCCGACCTGATGCCACCTTCCGTCTTGAGCCAGTCGAGTATTATTTTGCTTAAGGTCACACATAAGGCAGGCGCGAAAACAAACAGTTAGGTTTGGACTCAAATCTCCAAAGGTCTCTTGAGTTCACCGGTTCAAGGACATAAAGTGGATCCCACAGGTGATCCGACTCATCGTGCATTCTCTTACATACTAAGGTAAACTATGGGTATAAATAAGTGCATATATACGCCTTCATATACTGATTTATATCCTTAAACCTGACTGCATGAAGAGACATGGATCGTTATTCTCCTGCATATATGCGTAGTCGTAGTCACAGGTCTCTTATATTTTCTGCTGAGATCGTCTTCAAGCTTCGGATGCTGCGAGTCGAGACTAGCAGCAAATCAGACATGTGAAATGTGTTTGCCCCATCTCGTTTAAGATGGTGAAGGACTGGTAGTTGAACTTTACCATAATAGTATGAGTAGACCTTACTTTTTCGTCTAATCTCATTTAGCTTTACTTCCTAAGGATCTATGTGACCTGCATTGGAAACACGGGGTCTACTCATGTCATTATGGAAAGATTCAACTGCCAACCCTTCATCACCTTAAAAGAAATATATGATAAGCTCTTGTCTCTTATGTCACTTGGCAGACCTCATGAGATAAGGAACTCATCCTTAGAGCAAAGCAGGAAAACAGTCAGGATCAGGCCTTCTTACTAGATACGCTTACAAAAAATGAAGTTCAAGAGGTATCTAATGGTTTGGCTAATTATTTTGATA